ACGGATAGTGCCATACCCGCCCCGACCCGTCCCCGCTTCGGGTATGAAATTTAAGACACATCCACGCCCCGTTAGGGTCGGTTATCCACATGTACTCGAATTCGCGGGTCAAATTTGCATCCCTAGCCACGATGTGGCACACGGATGCCCTGACGTGACATTGAATAAAGAGACCGTGTATTTTATTAGACCACCATGGTGTGACCAAGGGTTACCATGGCCAACAGTTGCCACGATGTGGCAACTGTTTTGTCCTAAGCCCAAGATTCTTTTAGGGTTCATTTCGTATTTAAACCCCTCTAAACCCTTTCTAGGGTTCATAACGAGTCTCCAACACTCATATACCTCAGAGAAACCCTAACTCTCATTCCCTTGATGATCTCTGGCCTTTTGGAGCATTTGTTAGCTTGGAGAATAAGAGAAAAAGGAGAAGAAGGTGCTCTACTGGTGGATCTTGCAAGGAAACAACACCATCAACATCTCACATTACTTCTAGACCTTTGTAAGTGTCAAATGCTCAAACTTTATGACTTGATATGGCTAGATCTAAGATATTGTCCCTTGTTCTTCGTGGTTAAGCAAGTTGGAAGGAAGGAACTCTTAAAGTTGGCAACTTTATGACTCTCCTAAGTCCCATGAGCAACTTATGTTGTGGATCTAGACTTTGGTGGGAGTTCTTGTCAATTGCATGAGTTTTGACCATTTTTAAGCTCATTTTGACCCAAAATGTAATCTAGACATGTTTTGGTCATGCATGTCTGTAAAGCTTTCACCTTTATGATAGATATGGTATTAAAAACCCTTTTGGAGTGGTTAGGCTAAGGAACTTTTCGAATTATGGGCTTAATGGTTAAGACATTATGGTAATTGGCTTTATTTAGACCTAAGGTTGGAGATCTTAATCTATTTGGGTGTCTTAATAAATAAAGTTATAAAATTTATCCATTTAGACCATAAATGGACCAGATCCGAGCTTTGGAGCTCTTAGAATCAAAGAAAACGGCTTAATCCAATAAGATGTTGGAAACCCAGCGGTCACGGCGTGGCCATAGGTCTCTACGTCATGGCGACTGAGAAATGCCCGACTGTTCAATTATATGAGGGCGATGACGTGCCCATGGATGGCCAAGACGTGGCGGTTGACTAAAGTCAACGATTAGACATTGATTTTTATCGTTGACCTTTGGCATGTGATGAATTTTGGGTAAATTTCTATTTTTAGAAGGAAAATTTAGGGTTTTCCTTATTTGGATTGTTAGAAGGTGTTTAGCACTAATCTTTTGGCGATGAGAGCTAGTAGCTATGTTCGATGCGACTTTGAGCGGGGTTTCAGTCGACTTTGTGATTCAGGTGAGTCTCTTACTATACTTGGGGGTCGAAGGTACCAACGCCGACCCACTGGATTATGTTATATAGGAAGACCAGGTGGTGGCCCTTGACAATTGTATGAAAGATTTGGGTATGGATCCCGACAATTTGTATGCAAGACCAGGGTCTAGACCTTGGAAGTTATATGTAGAATGTTAGTTGTCTTTGTGATACTTGCATGAAAACTTCACTCTGAATTTTTGGGTCATTACAAGTTGGTATCAAAGCCTTGGTTTTAGGGATTCAGACACACTCTCAGGTGTTTGAGGGATTCATTTTCTTTTGAAAAGATTATCAATTCCTTAATTCCTCAAAAGAAAATGAATTTTATAAAAAAATATTTTTAATGAAGAAAGGGGTGTGATGCATGCAATCAGCCGAGCTTAAGTATGTGATTCCCATAATACCCATACATAATGTTATGTTATATGTTATGAAAATTGATGCTAGATTAGGGTTAAGGATTTGCTTAATATTTCATGGTAGAATTCTAGGAGAGATGCCTTCGTATGCCTATTGGTTGGGCTTTTAAAACTGCATGCTAGTATGGATATCTGATGATCGGATAAAATGATCTGATTAGGTGATGCACAAATTTAGATTTCTCGATGGTCGAATGTTGCTTGATTTGTGCTTTGTGGGACCCATATTGATGTGAGTTGATGGTTACTTGAATATGTTAAGTTACATGCTACAAATATTAAATAATCTCAAAGTGATTGATTTGGCCCTATTACGCAACTCTCGTATGAGTCTGACCGTTGTAGGTAGTTAGGGTCGGTCCTTTGATTTTGAGAACCCTGTGCGGAAAAAAAATAGGCCTCTAAAATTAAATTATATATATATATATATATATATATATATATATATATATATATATATATATATATATATATATATATATATATATATATAAAAGAAATTTTTATTAATAAAAATTAAGATAGGTTAGGATGTGATAAAAGAAGAAAAAAGAGAGAAGAAGAAAAGGAAAATGAAAAAGAAAAAAAAAAATAGAAACGATTAATTTGAAAATGAAAATGTGGTTGCCAAGAATTGAGCCTTAGTCTTTTACAATAAACTTAAAAGAGCAGAGTCACTGACCAGGCGAACTACAAACTTGTTTTGCTTACTTTCGCATCAAACAATAATATATAAATGAATTAATAAAAAAAGAAACGAAGACGTGAAAGGATTTGAACCTTGGTCATCTTGGAGGTGGTGTAAGGTGTGTGCCTTACCAGCGGAACTAAAGATCGCTTTTCAAAATTTTTACGTAATATATTATATATTAATAAATTAAAAATATAATTTGGCTAAATTTCGGGCCTTATTTTTTTCGGGGCCCTATGCAGTTGCACACCCCTAGGGCCGGGTCTACTTTTAGTTGAAGGATTATATGAGTTTTGTTGCATTTAATAATATTCATGAAGTAGTTAGCTGACATTAGTAGAAGTTCTTCAGCAGCTGATGGTAGGGTGAGGTGAGGGTTTTAGGAGAACCTAGGAAGTGTTTTAGTGGGAATAGTGCGCTATTTAGCAGGTACTTGGATTAAGCTACGAATGCATGATTTTTATAAGTTTTAAATTGTGAGCACATGATTTTTTTTTTATATAGGATATCATGGTTTTTTATATTTTTTAAACTACAAATGCATGATTTTATAAGTTTTAAACTGTGAATTTTTTGTGTAGTAAACTATGAATTAACCGTTTTAAGTTGTGAATTGATAATATTAAACTGTGATTTTTTAGTGTATTTTGTGTTAAAATATGAATGATTTATGTATGATGTTTTTTATTAGTTTTCTTGTGAATATATTTATTTGTATTGTATTAATATATAAGAATGTATAAGACATTATAATTATTTTGGATTAAACTCTAAATTAGTGAATTAATTGGTTTATTAAACCGTGAATATAGTATTTAAGCTACGAGTCCATAATTTTATATACAGATCTGATTTGGAAGGAAAAATGGTTCTGATAGTAGCATAGGTGGTTGGTGGCAACATGTGGTAGTTGGTGGTGATGGTGGTTATATAGTTTGGGTTTGACATCTCTGAGTATATGAATTAATGTATAATGGATTGTAGTAATCTGATAATGGACTCTTTTGAGTAGTATTTTATAAAAATTTCTTGTTAAAATATGCATGAAAATAATAGACTATGAATTAGTGAATTAATACATTTATTAAACTATGAATATGTTATTTTGAAAATATGTTTTATAAGCGATACAATTTTTTAAAAAGATCAATAATTTATAAAATAGAAAATTGAATTTCTTAAGGCATAATTTCATTGTTTTAATTAGTTTTTTTATATTTGATTGCCCAAATCCTAGAAAAATAAGAGTTATAATATTTGTTTTATTAAACTATGAATTCAATAGAAAAAATAAATCATAGAAAAAATGCCATTGAGTTTGTTGTTAGTCCGACGATAAGTGATAACTAATTTTAAACCAAGGAAAGAGAAAGTTTTTTTTATATAATATTAATGTTTGGTTTATCCAAAATAACCTTAATGAAAAAATTACAAGATGGTTTTTAGGATTTTTAACATTTTTTTGTTCTTATTTGAATCTCTCTTTCTCTCTCTCTATCTATCTATATATATATATATATATATATATATATATATATATATATATATATATATATATATATATATATATATATAATTGCTCTTTTTACTTTAATATTTTAGATTTCTTGCAATAAACTAAAGATATGAAAATTATAATGTAAGAGATTATCCAACAATTCATCGGAAATAAATCAAGAAACAAAAAATGGTTTCTTTGGTCATTCCAAAAGAAGATTTATTCTTTTACCAGACTTTGGCTTTCATTAGAATGTATTAAATGATAAGTAGGTTCAATCATTTACGACACGAAAATCCTTTTTATTTTGATGAAATTAATTTAGGGATGGAAGTATATATGGAACTAAATTTCTTAAAATGGTCACTGTAAAATATAAGTTTTTTAGTATGTTTTCAAACCAAATTGATTACTTTTGTAACTGAATTGGTCCACAAGTTATATGAAATATTTTAGATTTATAATTTTTAGTCTAAGACTTTTATTTAACAACGTACGTATCAAGACGTTTTATTCCTTTAAGATGAAAAAATATCGTCATGTAAAAACAAAAGAAATCGATTTATTTAAAGCAAATGATAACAAACATGTTCAACAATTTTTTTCACATTCCTGAGCAAATTCTTCGCACTTATAAATGTTAAAAAAATTGGTACATGAAACACAAAACTCTTATATATATATATATATATATATATATATATATATATATATATATATATATATATATATATATATATATATATATATATATATATATATATATATATATATATATATATATATATATATATATATATATATATTGATCCTACGATACAAGCAACTTTTTTTCTCCAAAATTGAGCTTAGGAGATTCGTGTTGTTAAAAAACAATATACTTTGGTTCGTATCAAAGTAAATAAATTACCGATGAGCTGTGTAAATTTAATTGGTAAAATTAAGGAAGTGGGGATTTGCTCACACTTCTGTTAGTATATAAATCAAGTCCCCACATCGGTTAAACCATACATGCACACAAATGGAGAGAGTTCATAAATCCTTTCTTCTAAGTCTAGCAATCTTTCTGATCGTGTTCCACAGTACAACAACTACAACACAAAGTGCGAGGGAACTTCTGGAAAAGAATGAGGCGCATGATGAGCACAACAGGGTAATCGTTAAAGACCAAGAAGAGAGAGTTGTGATCACAGGAGGACATGACGATGGAAAAGATGGAGGAAATGGACGCGGATATGGTAGCAGTTCAGGAGGTGGAGGTGGAGGAGGTGGCGGGGGCGGTAGTAGTGGTGGTGGTGGTGGCGGCGGCGGTGGAGGTGGTGGTGATAGTGGAGGTGGCGGTGGTGGAGGTGGTGGTGGTGGTGGTTCCGGAGGTGGAGGAGATGATGGACATGGAAAAGATCATGGTGATGACGGTCATGGAGGTGGAGGGGATGGTGGGAGTGGAAAAGATCACGGTGGAGATGGTGGAGGATATGATGGCGATCATGGAAGTGAAGGAGGTGATGGACATGGAAAAGGCGGTGGACATGACGAAGGGGACGGTGGACATGGAAAAGATCACGGAGGAGATGGAGGATACGATGGCGGTCATGGAAGTGAAGGAGGGGATGGACATGGAAAAGGTGGCGGATATGATGGAGGGGACAGTGGACATGGAAAAGATCACGGTGGAGATGGTGGAGGATACGATGGGGGTCATGGAAGTGAAGGAGGTGATGGACATGGAAAAGGTGGTGGACATGACGAAGGGGACGGTGGACATGGAAAAGATCACGGTGGAGATGGTGGAGGATACGATGGCGGTCATGGAAGCGAAGGAGGGGACGGACATGGAAAAGGTGGCGGATATGATGGAGGGGACAGTGGACATGGAAAAGATCACGGTGGAGATGGTGGAGGATACGATGGCGGTCATGGAAGTGGAGGAGACGGTGGGCAAGGAAAAGATCATGGTGGTGACGGTGGAGGATATGATGGCGGTCATGGAGGCGGAGGGGACAGTGGGCATGGCAAGGATCATGATGGAGGAGATGGGGGCAGACACGATGGTGGCCATGGGGGTGGAGGCGGATATGATGGTGGTCATGGAGATGGAGGTTACGATGGTAAACCGTACCCATATCCGTACAACGGGGGTTATTGGCCAGGCGGCGGTTATTGGCCTGGCGGTGGGTATTGGCCAGGGATTGGTGCAGGCTCTCCGTTTAACTATGGTTGGGGTTGGTGGAGGCGTGGACCTTGGTGGAACAACAGGAACGGTGGCTACGGTTTCAAGCAAGAGAAACCAGGCAAGTAGACAAGTCAATGCCAAGAAGGGAATTATCATGAACTACATTCATGTCATCTTATACCATGTATAACTTTTAATTAAAATAAATAAATACTTCTTATCACGATGTCAATATAGCTATAAAACACACAGACACATCTTTGGGTCGACCTAATATAATATCCTTTATATGCAACGTGGCATGTTGGGCTGGTATCTTTTTGGGTAAGGCCTAACACAATCAAGAAAGAGCTTGTTTGAGTTGTTTCTAGGCCCTCGCTTGTTCTTCTCTATATAACTATATATATTGATAGCCACGTTATAAACAAAATAAGACAAATGGAAGTGCCACATAAACATGTTTCACAAAGCAAACCACAACTTGAACAGCATAATTGAGTTCATTGATCAAAAAGTAAAGTAAAACCTTATAACAATTAATCCAAAAAAAATGTATGAAGTATACTCGAATGTCCATTCGATTAGATTTTCCAAGTATGATCCACAGTGAGGGCGGGGAACCTGATGATTAGTCTCCTCTTTGTCGAAATCCTTATGAAACCCATTTCATATGCGTTTTATTTCGAAGTTGGAGTTCGTCGTTCTTCACTGGAGTCTTATGCGTGGAGAAGAACAATATGAATGGATAATCATTTATGTGGATGCCACTTTATGCCAATTAATGCACTAATAAGGCTAGAGTCGGGGATATTGAAGAAATAAAAACAAGGATATTGGAGGATCCACGATAACCAAAAAAAAGTTCTTTGGTGAGCTGGTTGTGTTAACAGTCAATGTTGCTTTAATATATTGTAGTAATTCACCTCAATATAATGTCAAAACTTTTTCACTCGTGTAATAGCGGTATTTGGAATCTTCTTCCCACCTTAAGGCTTAATCATTCACGATTTATTAAATTTATTGGAGTTTAATAGATTAACGCATCATCATTTTACTTTTTATACAACTCTACATTAATTTTTTTGTAATACATTGAACCCTATAAAATTTAATAATCATTGAACTTTATATCGACCAAATACCAACATTATATTCGGCCGATAGTATGATACATGAACAACCATTTTGAATATTTTTATGAACATCTTGTCGGTCCCCTTCGGTTAAGTTGCTTATACATGTTGTTGCATATCGTACCTCCATCAGCGAAATGAAGAAAGAAAAGCACAAATAAGAGGTTGTCCTCTCACAACCTAGTAGTTCAGCAACTATTGTCGTTGTTGTTGCATGCTACACTATGATGTCGATAGATTCACTACTTCAACGTCGTTATCAAACATTTCAAGTTGAGCATTTATTTTTTGTATATCACTACATACCGAGAAGAGGAATATGTACCTCCAGTTATTTATCAATATACATGCATAACATAACAACAATAAATTAAATTTTTATTAATATATTTACACATTAAAATAATTATTAAATAAAACATAATATATATATATATATATATATATATATATATATATATATATATATATATATATATATATATATATATATATATGAGATTTTTTATTTTTTTTCAAAAACATAAATTTTTAAATAAAAATGAAAAATATATATTTATTTAAAACAACAATTTTTTTTATCAAAAAACTGCGTTTTTTTCAAAAAAAAAATTGCACTTTTTTCAAAAAAACTGTATTTTTTCAAAAAAGAAAAAAAAGTTGTAACTAAAAAAACTATAATTTTAAAAAAAAATTGCAATTATTTTAAAAAAAACTGTATTAAAAAAAACTACTATCTTTTTAAAAAACTGTATTTTAGAAAAACATAATTTTTTTAAAAAATGCATTTTTTAAAAAAAATAAATGTTTTAAAATCAATAAGTTAAAAAAAGGCTAGAATATTAAAAAAAAAAAAAAAAAAAAAAAAAAAAAAAAACACTAATTTTTTTAACAAAATAAATCAATGCTTTAGGTACATATATGCATATTTTTTCAAATGCATATATACACCTTTCTTATACTATAATATTCGTAAGTAAGTCATAAATAATCTCATTTTTGTTAACTAACTTATAAACATAATACTACAATATATTTTATTCGATACAAAATAAAATATAAAATAAGATAAATTACAAAGATTCACAGTGCTATCATTTCTTCATATCATGATTTCTATATTTTCTTCAATTTATCACTTTTCACTTCTTCAATATTTCCACAAATTCTTCAAAATCTACAAGAAAATTAAAAAAAAAAATGATTAATGCAAGAACACTCATAAAAATGCACATGTATATATCATGTAAGATTCATATGTGAATTACATGTGATTTACATTGAATCATATATAATTTATATATGAATTACATGTTATTTACATGTAAATCACATGTAATTCATATGTGATTCACTGATGATTTACATGTGTATCACATGTAATTCATATGTGATTCACTTGTGATTTACATGTGAATCACAAGTGAATCATATATGAATTACATGTGATTTACATGCGAATCACATGTAATTCATATGTGAATTACAAGTTATTTACATGTAATTCATATGTGATTCACTTGTGATCTACATGTGAATCACATGTAATTCATATATGAATCACTTGTGATTCATATGTAACTCGTATGTTATTTACATATGAACTACATGTGAATCATATGTAATTCATATGTGAATCACTTGTGATTTACTTGTGAATTACATCTTCTTTAAATTTAAATATGCGCGATTTACATGTGATTTACATGCGATTCACATGTAAGTCACAATCATATGATGCAATGATCGATGTGAAGAATGAAAATTTATTTTGTCATGAAGTATAGAATACATAAACGATATAAGAACACACAAATCATATGTGATTCACTTATGATTTACATGTGATCCATATGCTAATTACATATATGATTCACATCTAATTCATATGTGATTCAATTGTGATTTACATATGAGTCATGTGAAATTGTCCACTACCAATGCCTCAACAACACAAAAACCAGTAAAATTAATAAGGGTTATGAGATAATCAAATTATTATAGCATCTATGTACATATAGGTTGATAATTGCTTATTATATCATCTTACTTCTAAATGAAAGTGGAATGCTATGATAAAAAATCAAAAGGGATGTATGTTAATATTTGGCGTTACCTGACCATGGAAACCAACTAGATTGGGTTCAGAAGAATCCAAAGAAATGATGTCACCCATGTTTCGTACCAAATGACTAGCCACCTATTTCATTAAACAAAAAAAAATTAATATCTCAAAATGTTGTCCAACAAACAAAAACTGCAAAAAAAAGTTTATGTATGAATTACTTGCACCAATTGTATTGTAAACCTCCAAATAGTCTCAGTAAGTTCACTTGAATGTTTCTGGCATAAACTAATAAGAAACTTTTATAAGTTATATAAAACAAGAACTCATTAAAATTTATCGTAAATCACTAAACTTTTCCTAATTTCCTATCAAACATTAAAACAATCAATAAAAAATTTCCATTAACTTTTTAGGTAATTATTTTTTTCCATAAACTCTTTAGGTTACCAAGGAAATAGAAAGTAAAAAATTGTTCACACGTTAGTTTATGCTAATCATTGATTTATAAATGAGTAAATTACACGAATGGTCCCTATGGTTTGAGGTAATTTACGTGCTTGGTCCCTAACTTATTTTTTTAACTCGGAAGGTCCCTATGGTTTGTTTTTATTACGCGTTTGGTTTCTACTGTTTATTTTTGTTACGCGTTTGGTCCCTATCTTATCTAAAAAGACTATTGTTTAAAGAAGAAAAAATGATGGGGTAGGTGAGGTAAGGTGAGGGGGTGGGTTAGGGGTGTGTTTATTTAGATAAATTAAAAAAATCAAGGGCATAATAGTCTTTTTAGGTAAGATAGGGACCAACCGCGTAACAAAAACAAACAGTAGGGATCTTCCGAGTTAAAAAAAATAAGTTAGGGACCAAATGCGCAAATTACCCTAAACCATAGGGACCATTCGTGTAATTTACTCTTTATAAATATACTTCATTTACCGTCGGTTAAAATAGTTGCTTAAAATATCATGAATTGAATTATGAATCCTTATGCGTAGGCAATTGAAATTTGGTAAGTGAAAATAAAAGTAAAAACTAATTGTTCGTGAACACATATATGATAACAATTCAAAATGAGTTAAAATCCACCACAAATGTTAATGAAGGAGAAAAATAAAAAACCAGATCGGAAAGCGCTTCCTCCAAAATTTGAATTGCATCTCCTGAGAAATAGTAGGAAACTAACAACCCTAGAGCAATTAGATTCACCAAATCAAAAATCAAATTCAGCAACATGCAAACACAAACAAGATTAAATCATCATCTAACAACATAGAAAAGAAAGTGAAGAGATTTACAAAGGTGATCGGTTGAATTTATCGATAACTTCACCATTATTGTTGTCTAATAATGGTTGCCTCGCATAGAGTTGTTCACCCTTGTTCATGGTTGAATCGTTGTCACGCCCCCAAACCAAGGATGGCGGAAACGTCCAGGGTGGAGGACTTCATGTGTAGTATCACAACAATGCACATCATAGTGCTCAAAGTACAAACAACCAACATAAATATAATTGAAAAAGTTACATCATAGCAAAAGTTTACATGTTTCTAAATCAATTACATTATGTTGACAAAAAAAAGTACAATGATTGACGCCTTAGCGTTCCATCCACAAAAGTCGTTGTTTACCTGATTTACGGATTCCCTGAGAATACAAGTAGTTTTGAAAAAGTGTCAACAATTAAGTTGGTGAGTTCATAAGCTTTGAGAATAAAATGTTGAAATCCTTTCTTGTAAAAGTAGTGTTTGTTCCAGAAAATCTCATATTTTCTCTCTAAAATGTATTGTAGTTTAAAATGCCAAGACTAATAGTATGCTAGTATTTTTCCATTTAAAATTTGAATCATGCAAGTTTAAATCGGCATAAACTTGTTAGTTTAAATGGAAATCCCATAAATCTTATGTTTGTTAATACCCCATGTGGGTTAT